AAACCTCCCAGAAAGCTTGCCTATGCACATGCTATCCAGACTTGTCCCAGGCAAACATTGTCTCCTGGAAAATGAAGGACTCATCCAAACAGTGAGACCAAGTAAGTGCTTTAGAGAGAAAACAGTCTCTACTGTTCAGTTCCAGGTATTTGGTCTCACATCCTTGATTCTTGGTTTAAGCTAGGAAAGTTAAATATAAGGGTAGTTTTAAAGTGCAATAACTAAACCACCCTAGCCCGCTTCCAAGACATCTTAATTTAGAAGTCAATCTCATTTTGTTCAATTCATTTGGGTGTAAACTAAGAACTTAATTCTGAACAATACCATCTACCTGGGGTTTAAATGAAACTTCACTAGTGTCCTTTAAACATACACTCCCAATTCATTAGGCCGAGCATCCCTCGTAGATAATCCCCAACTTAAGGAATTCCATCCTTAGGACTAATATTACTGGTGGAAGGAGCTGCAAATATCCCTTACAGACGGAAGGCGAAGACCAGTGTATTGTCACACCAACTGCCACTTGACTGGCATGCTCCCAAGAACTGTTATTACTACTTAGAGCATAACTACTCATTAAAGCCCAGAACCATTTGGAAGCAGACATGTTTTATGGGTGGGAGAGACTCTGAAATTGTTTTCTCTATTTCAGGTAGAAGAAGAAATCAAGTCTGATCTCTACATTCTGTTCTTCCATATAGTCCAGAGAATCCCTGAATACCTTATTCATCTACAGGTAGGGCCCCAGGATGGAAACTGTCTTGTTGAACTCTTATCACATGTGACTTTTAACTCAGAGCTGGTATTCAGGCCCGTACAGGTACAGGGCTTCTGGCTAACCCAGCAGGCTTTCTGAAAACAAACAAACAAACAAACAAAAACACCTTTGAAAGGAAAAGCCAGCTGAGAATGGTCTAGTTTTCATCATTTTCACCTGAAGCTTGCTTCTATTTGCCAGTTTCCCCATTTGGCCTGACAGAACCTACTTCTGTCCCCTGGAAGCCGAAAGCTCTGCTGCCTGTTCTGGGAGAACAGGAGGCCAGAGGTGAGGCACATCTACTGTGAGCTCTGACCTAACGCCTGTAACAGAGCTGGCCTCTTTAGCCAGCTGAGTGGCCCACATGCCTGTTAGCTGAGAGACCGAGAGGGCTAGAGGCTCCTTGTGCCCAACAACCTTCCCTGCACAGAGCTTGCTGATAAAAAGAATTCTGGTTCACAGGAGGGTTATCTGAATTGTACTAAAGCACATCAGACAAATCACAGAATCCCAGACTGGTGGGG